GATCATCAGATTGGCGTGCCTCTTGGTAAGCCCTGTTGGCAAGCTCCTTAATGGCTCTCGCAGTGACTTCCGTTCAGTTGGATTACCTGTCAACTGATTGGGATCAGCGTTCTCTGGTGTTATAACATCTCGAGGACGCCTTCCAAAGGCCATTTCTAAAGGAGTAACTCCTCCGTAGGTAATCGAAGAGTTTCTTGCCAAACATGCTTGGCGAACGAGGTTGCCATACTTCATGGTGATTCCGTTATACTGCGGGTCACCATCCTTCAGGATCTGAAGTATGAGCTTAATCTGATGCTTCAGCAACCTTACAGCAGCTTCGGCCCTGTTGGGCCATGGTGTTCCAGGTCCTGTTGCCACAGGCTTGATATTCTGCCGATTGTAATAAGCCTCCATTTTTGGAGTCATGAATGCTTGATCTCCAACTACAACCTTTGGGTTAATCTGAAATTTTTCAAAGTAGTCATTCATAATAGACATTGTAGTATGTTCTTCTTTATCCTGGACTACTTCGGCAGTCAACAAGTTTGTTGCTCCATCATAGAGAATAAGAAATACTAAGCGACTATCCTTGCCGGGAATTGGAAGCTCACCGTGATCTACGAAGGTGAGATCACCGAAAGTCTCTGATCTTAGACCAGAAATCTTCGCTCTCGAAGGAGCTCTCACATGTTCCTGGCAGGCTGAACACTTTTTGACCAGTTGGTCATATAGCTCGTAGATCTCCTTTGGGATCTGTAAGGCTTTTGTGCGTCGCTTGAACTGATCCGTACTCATATGACGGTGCTTAAGGTGAAGCTTGTAGAGTTCTACAGGGTCCTTAAGCTTCTCATGAATCCTGCGAAGAGCAATGGGAAGAGATGGCGAAGGTTCTGCGACAATCTCTTCACCTGTTGGTGAGTCTGTGCCAGGAGCCGGGTATTCTCTTGACTCAAGTGGTCTTACCTCCGTCCCGTCATCAGCTCCTGGGACTGTAGACTTCTCTTCAACAGGAGGTTTGTCCGCATATTTGCGGGTTTTCTTCAGAAGGTTTTTAAGACCCTTTGGAGTCTTTATCTTCGCAGATGGAACCTCAAGTCTTTCTTCTTCTGGAGGTTCATGCGATGCAGAAGATTCTGCAGGTTTGTCTCTAGAGCCTGATGATGGTTCCGAAGGTCCGGAAGGCTCAGGAACATCTCCAGATGATTCTGGTGGATCAAGTCTTTTGGCAGATGATTCTGCCGGATCAGATGGAAGAGGCTTCCTTTTCCCAGAAATCCTCTTCGGTGGTGGATCAGCTGCTCCCTCAGGTGCTCTGTCACAACCCTTGAGGTACGTGTGAGCCTTTTTCTGTCCGGCACAGGCTGGACAGCGACCTTCCGGTATCCTAACATAAGGCTTATTGGCTCCTAGAGCAGTCTCCGTCGCACGGAACGATGTACCTGACTTAGGAAGGTACTTCCTGGTGGAAGTAAAGCCTAAAAGGTCCAATACCAAATGGTTATTGGTACTAATCGGAAGAGGGGTTTTATACAAACCGAAGGCTTCACACGTTGCTAGGTCAGCTGTTGGACTACACTCGAGGGTCATTCTTAGATTTCTCATCTGTTCAATGGAGAACAAAATGGGGACTCTTCCCTGATCCAAAACTTCTATGGTTGTATCTCTTCTTGGAGTTGTGTTAAACCATAGAGTTACACGCTCCTTGATAAGAGCTGTTTCACTATCTGCGAAAGAGAACTTCGTGTTCGAAGGTGAAAAAGTGAAATCAATCATGCCTGGGGCATGTTGCTTCACGGCCTTGATAAGCCTGTTCACCGCATAGCGGGAACCCATAGCCCTAGTACAACCAGAGTCAAGAATGACAAAGGTAGGGCTCTTATCAAGATTGATCCGCTCGGTGAGAGCAGATAGGACGGTGTGCTGCAACGGAAACACTGCTGTTGCAGTCTCCACACCTTGCCCCTCGGATGGTTCAAAAACCTGGGGCGCGTAACTCACTGATGAGTTGTACACGGGTTCTTGGTGCGCGCTCGGATCTGTGCCTCTACCTGATGATCCTGCTTGATTTCTTCTCTTCTTTTTCCGTGTCTTTCTTCGTGAGGCTTGTGATGCATAGTATGTATAAGACGTTTGATCGTCATAAGCGGCATAATTCCAACTGGAGTCAGTATAATAACTGTCCTCATACCATGAATCCCAGCTCGGTGCGGTGGAACTTTCATAGGCCTGTGGAGATCCAGTTTGGTCTCCTTGTAAGGAGGCAGACTTAGCTGTATCCTTACCCTTGCCTTTTGATTTTGTGCCCTTGAAGGAGCTTCCTTTATCTCCTTTGTCCTTTCCTTTTCCTTTGCCTTTTCCACCTTTTCCTTTTTCCTTTCCTTTACCTTTACCGAAATAGCTGGAATCAGTTGGATCATGTTCTGCCTGGTTGGCTCTCCCTTTTCCGCGGTATGACCTAAAACGGCCACGTCCTTTTCGCTTGCCACCCTTTGCTCTTCCCGGTGATCCGGGACGCATTCTTGGTCTTCTTCCCTTTTTGAATCTCCTTGCAACGAAGGCTTCATGGTCGTCAACTGTCCAGAAGACAGCTTCTTCATCCTCGGCGGCAAGAAAGCCTTCCTCAAGGGTGTCTTCGTCTTGGAGCCAGAATCCATCGACTCCGTCGTATTCACCCTGATCGAGGATGAGGAAGTTTCGACCTCCGCGTTTGCGGCGTTGATCTCTCCTTCCATGGCGGTCCTTCTTGTGAGAAGTGTGCCGAATATTGGGATCCTGCAGACCAGTTCTGGTCGTTGAGAACTGATCGAACATGGTCTGCCGTACTATAGGGTACGTGTAGGTCTCAATTCGGTAACCTTGGTTGGTCAATGCTGTTACCAACCTCTCACGTTGCATCTCATTTAGGTCGGACTGCACTAGGAAGAGGAGAGCTAGGAGATTATCATTTAGAGGAAACGCTCTTCGATGATTATCAAGGCGTTCCTTGTTCCATGTTTCGAAGAAACGTGCGGCGTATGTGTCTCTCTCGGTTGCATCCTGTAGGCGCATGAAGGTTTGATCTGCTTGCACAGCCTGCATGAAATCAGGATGGGCATCTTCCAGAATTATCTCTGGTAAGAGATCCATCCATGAGTTTCTCACGCGCTGTAGCACGATCTCAAACTTAGCAATCCAAGTCACAAAGTCTTGGTTGCCCTTCCATGCCTTGAATAGGCCGAGAAAACGCCACAGGAAAACGTACTGTTCTCCTTTCACGAAAAATGGACGCATCTTCTTCTTGAAGTAATCTACTCCGTCTGGGGCTGCAAGCCTTTCTCGGTTGAGTGATTCTTTTTGTACTGCGGCCAATCCGGAGAGCCTCGTCTTGAGAGACGGACCTCTTTTGGTATCATCCAGCGTTGTTATATCGCACCAGTCGTCAATCAACTGTTCATACTCAAACCACGAGGTGGTGCCATCATAGGCAGGCGCGATCTTGGGCGTTATGCCTAATGATGCAAGCATGCGGTCAGATGTTGCATATGACTGTGCGACATAAGTAGCTGGACCTTGGGAGGTCTCTTCGTTCTCATATCCCCCGGAGGATTGGGAACTGCCGTCGGCTTCGCTATGCGAGCTCGACATTGTGCTGCCTCTTGTCCGCTTGGTTAAGCGTTCGGCGAGGCCGACCGCTGTAGCGGACTTTGTGAGGCGGGCGGCCCTTTCCGGGCTCCGCTACCAGAAAACTGTGCCGATACACCCCCAAGGGATACTCCTTGTAAGGAGGTGTATGACCAGTTTATTCCCTAAGGATCAAAGGGCAGCGCCCTGCACACGGACAGTAGTTGTTTTGTCTTGCTACGCAAGGAGAGCTTGTCTTGTCTCAATATGGTAAAACCACTGTGAGCCAATGGGCAGCGGAATGTATATGTATGAGCATGCAGCCATTGCTGTAGGTACCTGTTAGAGCTACCCCTTTAGAGGTTTATGGTTTCACCCCCTCCCTCCCTCTTCTCCCCCTCCGGCCCGTCCTCCCCTCTGCCCTCCTCGCTCGTTTTCCTTTTTTGGTTCCCCACCCTTCCGTCTTGTCCTGCCCTCGCGTGTTTTTTCGATTGCCTGCTCGTTTTCTTTCACCTTCTTTTCTCTTTCGGCCTGCCCCCGGCTCCACTGTCTTTTCTTCTTATGTTTCGTTTGCGTGCTTCTTTCCTGCTTCCTCGTTGAAGCTCTCGTTTTGCTGTTTTGTTCCGGCCCCTTTTCCCACCCTTCCGTCTTGTCTGCACTTCTTTTGGCTTGTTTTCCTTCCTTCCCCCCTCCCCCTCTTGCTGGCCCCCCCTTCCTCCTCCGGCCGGCCAGTCCACCCTTCCTGCCCTCGCATGTTTTTTCGACCTTTTCTCCTCTTTCGGCCTGCCCCCCACCGAGCCGGCTCCACTGCCTTTTCTTCTTATGTTTCGTTCGCGTGCTTTGGCTTTTTCGGCCTACCCCCCCCGGGCCGGCTCCACTGCTTTTTCTTCTTATGATTCGTTCGCGTGCTTTGGCTCTCCTGCTTCCTCGTTGAAGCTTCCCCCCCCCCGACCCTCCCTCCCTTCCCCGGCCCCCCTCCCCCCGGGCCTTCCCCCGGCCCCTTTTCCCACCCTTCCGTCTTGTCCTGCCCTCGCGTGTTTTTTCCATTGCGACTTTTTCGTGCACTTCTTTTTGGCTTGTTTTCTTCCCTCCCCCCCTCCCCCCCACCCTTCCTCCTCCGGCCCCCCCTTCCTCCTCCGGCTTCCCCTTGTTTTTTGTCTTCTGCCTGCTCGTTTTCTTTCACCTTTTCTTCTCTTTCGGCCTGCCCCCGGCTCCACTGTGGGTTTTGCTGCATGTGTTTGCTCTACACTTGCCACACTTCTCCAAGTAGCCCTGACCCTGCAACTAAGTTACACCTACTTTAAGAGGCCCTTCGCAGTTTGGCCCCTGCTCTGCGCCCCTGCTGGCCCTACTGCAGCCGGCGGCCGAGGCGGGCTGCGTAGCATTAGAATTATGTGCGTGCAACAGCGGAACATAGTTCAAGTTCGTTTCTCTTCCATCCGAGGCACTTCTGCGGGCGTCCAGGCTTCGAGCCATGCATAGGGCGTGGCCAAGACCACCACACCATCCGAGGACAAAGCTTCTCGAAGCGAACTGAGCCAAGAACGCGGTGTCCGCAGGCGACACAACACGTTGCAGGCCAAAATCAAGTCGAAGCGCGAGCCTGCAGGCGTGTGACGTGTGCCTGTGCTCTCACAAATCCTTTCTGTGTGCCAGGAGGGCATGGAAGACCGGGAGCTCTGTCTTTGTGACACAGACGGCTCCTGTTCCTCCGGTGCTCAAAGAGGATTGTGCCGAGTGCTCCGCTTTGAATGGCTTTGCTGGGGCCCTCTTTCCTTCTCTCTCGCAAGGGTAGGGAGCTCGCTCGCTTCATCGTCCTTTGCCACACAGCCGGAAAAGCATGGGAAGCTCCTGCAGCCCTTGAACGAGTCCGCACGCCGGTCCCCAAGTCTGAAACGCATTCGGAATGATTTTTGCCGACCGTAAGTGACGGTGTGACCACGAAGCACCATGCTTAAGAGATTTTTCGGTCTGCACAGATTAGAAACCAGCCCGAAAGTTTTGCCATTGCCCTATCGTGTCTTTATGATTCATTTACAGCAGCGCTGTCCACGCCCTCCTCGATCAGTGGCCTGTGGGTGGGATGAGCGGGACAAGGGATGCGCGTGCGACTGTCCTTCCGGACCAAAGAGTAAGCGAACATGCCGCATCCGAATCCACGAGCCTCACAAACAGCCGTGTGCCCTGGCGCATCCACTTTCACAGTGGGGAAGCACAGCCCGAGCCGTGACTGAGGCAGTGGGCGCCGACGCGAGCAAAATCGAGGGGGGGGCCGTCTCGGGGGGCCACGGTCGGCGCTGGCACGGGGCCCGGCCCACAACAACCTTCCAAAGCAGGAAAAATTGCTCTGTCGCGCTAGACTGTTATCATATCATTATCGTTGTTCATCCTTTTGTTATCTTGCGTCTCATGTATTTATCGTGTTTTAGCTTTTATTTATCGATTCTTTATGATTCTTTATTTATCCTTCCGACTTCGGCGCCTCGTTTCACATCGTTTTCATCATCCCGGATTCTGGGTATCCTTTTTTATCATGTCTTTATCGTTTCGGATTCGGGTTATCACGTCCTTATCATTCTGGGAATGGCCGCGGTCTGGGGCCTAAGGCCTAAAGCAACTAACCAGCGGGCTTGACAAGCTTTGATAAGCCGGCAATGGACTTGACTCTTCGCCGCTCGCCTTTTCGAAAGCATAACAACCCCATGGACAAGATCGAGCTCGTGGGCACGGAAGGCTTTTTCGAGGCATCTATGTGTCTCAACGGGTGGGCACACTAAAGACCGCTGCAGAGGCCGTGGCAAGTGCACACCCAGATAGCACTCGGCTCGGTCCTGAGTGCATGAAGTCCATGACGTCCACGCACGCAAAGCTGCAGCGAGAGGGCTGCGAGTTGCGTGGGATGGATGCCCAGCTCTCCTGCACCTCTGTGGGTGAACGGGCCAGGATCAGAAACACATTCAGCACTACGCCACTACGCCAACGCAAGACTCTTCGCTACGCCGCTGGACTGCTGCTAGGGCGCCCCACGGCCCGGCAGCAGGTAGGGAAGAGATTTGGTTCTCTGCAGGGAGCAAGCAGCCTGGATGAAGGCGTGGGAGGTGTCCACGCCGACCACGTGCTGAAAGCGAGAGCTCAGGGCAAAGGTGTTTCCTCCGACGGCACATCCTA